AAAATTCGCTTAAAAAGTGTAAAAACTCAATATTAACATTGGAATGTATGAAGGCAGTAGGAAATTCTCTATTTTATCACATCTGCATATTTATGAAATTTGCTATGTAGGAACATAGATTTGTAATGCACATAATAGTGTATCTTCCATATCTCAGCACATACGATCATATGCCGCAGCAGCACTTGGACTGTAGAGTACATGTTTGTTTGTTAGCTTTAATAATATTGGGCGCTTAGGTGGTATTAACATATTCGCAACAAAGCACAAACTGATACTACTTCATTTTGCAGGCTTTCAACTAAATTGATTTATAAATCACGTAACGTAACGAGCGCAAATTTTTATGTTCACTAAAAGTACGCATACGCAATGTAACACCTTTGGCTGAAGCAGTCTTGACGGCACATAAAATCTGTTACTTACTGCTTCATTGCTAGGCAAGCTTACAACTTCTTTATATACACACAGCTATACAGACATACCATAGTATGTAATATGTATAAATATTTAAACATAAAACCCCAAATCATTCATTATTTAACAATTTCGCATTTGCATGCGGGTATAATGTACGTTGATATGAGTTTGCAAACAATTTTATTGCTGAACGTAGAGCAATAAAGTAAAAATGTAAGAAAATAAAAATATTAAAAATATGAAGCTGTACGTAAGAATACATATAAAAATATTGACATGTGAGTACTACAACGGCTACCACAACGTTGACTTAAGTTACACATTAAACCAAAACTGCACAGAGTTCCGCTGAGGTACATACAATATTTCTAACATTTCATAGGCAGGTGTAATATGACAAGAAAGCACTAAAAAGCCAACATTGTCATAAAGTAACATTGGCAAGTTGGCAGGAACTACGCTTGGCACTTGGGTTCAACCCCAATGGTGTGCTATGTATCGACATAATGACGGTGAAAATTTTTCTATATTTTAGTCAACACATTTCCTAATGTGTTTAGGTACCTATGAGCCGTCCCAAAACTACCAAAAATACTTCTCATAAAACATTTTGCCAACAAAGTAGTTTCGTTATTATTTGTGTGTGAATTGTGCCTTTTGTTTCATTATGCTCGAGTATTATAAGTCCTATGGGAAGCTGAAAATATATCACAACAATGGATTTGTTTTAAAATTTTTATTTTTATGTGCCTAAAGGAAACCAAAATGATAACATAAAAAAATATCTTTATACCTTCATAAGTTAAAATAGATTTAGTGACAGATTTGGAAATAAATTTCTAAAGTTTTATTAATATATTTCACGCCATCTGTGAGCTCAGACAGAATAAGTCCATGCATTTGAAAAATATCAACAGATTCTAATATTATTAGCGATATTTTTGAATAGAATATTGCTAGGTGTATGACCAACACGGAATTATGTTATATTGTACAACAGTTGCAAAAATAGATATCAACAATTAAAATTGACGAAAGCCAAAGAAACAGTAGTTAATTATTGACTTTTATCACAACTCAAGGATATGAACTTATTTTACTTTTTCAATTAATTTTGTCTAACCATAACATTATTATTAAAAATAGCAACTTACTAACATATACAAGGTGAGATGAAAAAACTGCAACCAACTTCAGACTGCTGTCATTTCTAAACCGCTCGTCCCACAGCTGTCAGATTTATTCTAGTGACAGCTCATTATATTGTTTACAAGCGCACAAAAGCATTTTGGTGGGAATTTTTCAGAAAAAAGTTATTTGTGATGGAATTCAAGCGTGATAGTGTGATTGCTTTGCATTTGGCTGGAAAACCACAAGTGGCTATCGTTAGAGCCCTCCAGCATTTAAAAGTGAATAAATCTTTTGTGTCTCGTACCATCGCTCGTTACCATGGTACTGGTAGCGTAGCCCGACGTCAAGGAAGTGGACGAAAAAAAACAGCAACATCGGCAGAAATGGTTCGAAAAGTGAAGAAGCGAATTGAACGAAATCCGCGTCGCAGTGGACGAAAAATGGCTTGTGAGCTGAACATATCGCAATATGCCATTCGGCAAATATTGAAAAATGAGCTTGGACTAAAGCCATTGAAGTTCCAAAAAGTGCAAGATCTTACTGATGCGCAAAAAAAAGTTAGACTCGAAAAAGCTAAAGAGTTGCTTCGCTTGGCCGAAAGTGGTGAACTGCCGAATTTGGTTTTCTCCGATGAGAAACCATTCGTTATCCAGCAGTTTGTAAACAAACAAAATGATCGTGTTTACTTGCCAGAGAGGTCAGCTGAAAATTTGCAACTTCTGTTGGCCACCACAACTCAAAAGCCGGCCATGGTGATGGTGTGGGCCGCCATAACAGCCGATGGTCGCTCGCCGCTCGTATTCATCGACCGTGGGGTCAAAATAAATGCGCAAATCTATCGCGAAAATATTTTGGAGGGAGTTCTGAAGCCCTGGGCACGCAAACATTTCGGCCGCAGACCTTGGACATTCCAACAGGACTCAGCACCATCGCACTCAGCACGCGCCACCCAAGAATGGTTAAGAAATGAGGTTCCTCGCTTCATTTCCACCGCACAATGGCCACCAAAATCTCCGGATGCCAATCCGTTGGACTATTGTGCCTGGGGTATTTTGGAAAGCAAGGTTGGCACTAAAAAATACCAAAGTGTCGATCATCTCAAGCAAGCGCTTCGCCGAGAATGGGACAAAATACCGCAGAGCCACTTTCGGGCAGCGTGTGATGGTTTCATTGGCCGTTTGAAGGCCATAGTTCGTGCCAAAGGTGGCCAATTCGAACAATTCTAAACCGATTCTCAAATTTGATGTTATTTCCGACATTTTTTGCTTTCATTCAATAAAATTTAAAAAAAATGAAAAAATTATGGCGTTTTACTTTGTTGCAGTTTTTTCATCTCACCTTGTATTAACAATAATTTAGTAAAATATAATTATGGTAGTGTTTTTAAGAGTCCCCTTAAAATGCGTGGATAGAGACTTTAATAGAGATGACTAGAAAATAGGCGTCAGAGTGATTTGAACTAATTATATATGTACCATTTCGGAATGATTGAATGTTTTATAAAAAAATCAAAAAAATAATAGTCTGACACTATAGTAGGTTTTCGGTCTTGGCTTTATTTAATAAGTCTTCGCTATCGATATTGATTCCACATCGATATCATTTAGTTTTGCGCCCTAGCGTTTGAAGTATCTTAAACAATACTAACCTTTGAATGCAGGCATAATTTGTCTCGCTGCCGCCTATGAAATAATTTACCATAAAGGATTCTTCAAGCATATTTCCACTTCACTGCTATGAACCTGAGCTTTCCTATATTGCTTTGAATACAAAGCGTTTCAATTTTGTAGTTTTAACGTCTATAACTAAGAGATTAACAACTAAGAGATTAACAACTTAACAACTAAGAGATTAAAATGCTTTTTACTAAACACACAAGACCCGGATCCATATATAAGTACCGGTAGTACCTTTATATGGTAGAATACTATTTGATTTATTCAAATTATCAATTACCAATTAAATCATCAGAAATCTTAAGTAGATACCGATTTAAATTATATTGCTTAATTGCCATTAGTTTAACTATGTGAAAGGTTTTAAAAATAGATCGTTAAGAGTTTGAAACTATGTATTTTATACATACGACCTGTAGACTATTACTTTCTATAAGATATAGGTAGATAGGTGAAATGCATGAGTTTTAAGAAATGAATTGAATCGTCCGCAGTTAGTCACTTAATTTCACATTCTTCGTTATTTTGGGTAGAAGGTTGGGCATATTAGTATACATAAATACAAATATTTGGCAATTTTTAATGTTCAATCTATCGTTGAGTGAATCTACGAATGGTGGTATCCATAAGTTTAACCCTGGATAGTAACACAACAGGAATTTTGATATTTTCTTCTCGAGTCTCGGTAAACATTTTATAGAAGAGTTTCAACAAGGCAGGCTCAATCTGACTCTAAGTCGTCCTATATCCCAGGTTCCCATATGAGTAAATATTTTTGTGAATACTTTCAACTTGTTCTTATAGTTTGTCATAAAATGTTGTAAATTTTGTATACCGGAAGACATGTATATTTCATGTATGAGTTCTTTACTGATTATAATATAATCATATTAACGCTTTGATGGAAAAAATTTGTCCAGACTTTGAAAATAAACTCTTGTTATCTCAATTCATTCAGAAAAATAGTGGTTCATATGAGAGCCTGGGATATAGGACGACTTAGAGCCAGATTGAGTCTGCCCTATTGAAACTCTTATATAAAATGTTTACTGGCACTCGAGAAGGAGACATCAAAATGTTACCTGCTAGTTCATTTTAATAGTTAAATCAATTGCAAAATTACAATGCAGTTTCACGCCTAAAAATATATAAAAGAAATATAAAACGATATTCAAACGTAGAACTTTTTTATATTTATTGCATGCTGTATATGAAACTGCATAGCTTTGGTTTGTAGTTTTGTTTCAAGTTAGATTTGCGGTTTTTGTGCCATTTGGGAACCAGATTCATTAAAAATTTATGCAATTTTGTTAAAGTTCATTTCCACATTTTCGCAGAGGAAATAAAAAAGTGACACATATCTACTCTTCCATAGTTTTTCATAGTTTGGAGCGAAACATGTGTTGCATGCAGGAAATGGGGATTTGTGCACAAATAAAAATAAAAAATAGTAAAAATAATTTTAATACCAAAAAATTTGCAAAATTGTTTACTCTCTTGATTTGAGACAAACTTTCAGCTTTTAATTATAAAGAAAGTAATTTTTTTTCCAGCTAGTTTTTTAATTTTTAATTAACAACATCAACTTTAGTTAATGACTACATAGCATGTATATATATATATAAAAAATAGTTATACATTGTATGCTTTACTTGTTGTTGTTAAATGCTTTAAAATTGCTACATACTCTTATTAAGCTTATTTACACTTATGTGTACTTGAAATTATTTTAATTCTATATGTATATATATATATATTTATTCTTATACTTACATCACATAATGAGGATGAAATATTTTTTAAGTTTAAGCGAAATACGCGATCCCTGCAGAACATGGAAAGAATTTAAGATTAAGTTAAAAAAAAATAATATTTTAATTAATTTATTTTACTTACATGGAACCCACATAGAGTGCATCGCGTTCTTCATCCATGTGAAAAGTGCGATAGTAGAGTTTACCACAATTAAATTCTCGTACATGATCTAAAAATAAAATAATATATAGAAGAAATTTAATTTTAGTCAAATTTATATATCAAGCAATATCTAAATTTATTTGTTATATGAAATATATAGAATATACTATTTAATATAGATTTTTTTTTTTTAATATTTTTTAGAAAAGTCCAAATGTTAACTTTCACATGAAAAACTTTCAAATTTTACAAACAAACATCGTTAATATATACATTTACATATATTTATATACTATACATATATTTTATTTGCCAATGTGAGATAAATATTTGCTTACAATTTAATGTTCAATCATTTGAAAACTTCAAATTTATTTCAAAGTTTTTAGCTTTTAGCCAAATACACTGACAAACAAACAAAAAAAAATTAAAGGGACAAAATTCAGAACTCGCCAATGCTTGGAACGGGCAAACAAACACACATACACCACACCACACAAAACTGTCAACAAAATCGAGATTCTTTGACATTTAAACTATTCCATCGTCGTCCTATCAAATGACATTTTGACATTTCTTTTGGCTAACGTTTGACATTATCGCTGTGTGTAACCTTTAAAATGATTTGCCTCAGACGACTACCGCCAGAACACAACAACAAACAAAACTTCACAACAAAACACAAAATACAAAATACATAACTAAAAGATGCAAACTTTTGTGAAAAAGTTAAGTAAATAGAGAAGAACAAACTTAAAAAACAACAATAACAACAACAACAACAAAAACAACAGAACAGATTAAAAAGGTAAACAAAAAGTGATGCACGTTACTTTTCTGAGATTTGTTAAGTGGTCAACGTGCCGTATGAGCAATTTTATACTCTGCCAAAGCAACATTTCTTTGTTTCTATTATTTAATTCCACGACTCCCAACTCGGTACGTTCGGAATAAAACGGAAGCTGCTAAATTACGTTGTACGGAAACTCCATTCGTCTGACTATTGACTGTCTGAGTGCAAGTTATTTTTCATTGAATTTATATAACGAGAACCGAAACCGATTTATTTCTGAGATATCGAGTTTGCGATAACGAACTCATTAAACATTAAAGCGGAGTAGAACTTTGTTCAAAGTTAGAAGAATTTTTAAACTAATTATGGAAAAATCAATGGATTACGTGAAGAAGTCGTACAGGTTTCGCCAAACTCAAGAAAAATTTGGAAATGTGACTTATTTTCTGTACAGTATAGAACAGCAGCAAAATATTTTTGTATATGAAAAAATATTTTACTTCTTAAGAAATTAGGACTTGAATGATTTTCAGTACTTATAGAGTATATTCGAGAGAAAGTATTTAGCGGTTTAGTAAAAAATGGTAAAATTTTAAACATAATTTCATCAATTCAATTATTTATTAAGTTTAAACATTCATCTTTCAGTTGATTTCCGGATTTTATTATTTAAAATATGAGGCACCTGTTCTTGAAAAGTTGTCACAGAAATTAAAGTAAACTTCTAATTAAACAGTGTATTTTCTTGACTATGTAGTGAATGCATCAAAACTGTTTATCAACTGATGAAAGATATGTAAAAATAACCGATGTTGAGATTCTTAATTCAATATCTTGCTTCAGTAGTAGACACCTAAGTTATTAATCTTTTCCTATCGATATTACATAGTTTTATCACTAACTTCTATAATGTTGTCAAATAACAAAGATTCACAATATGAAAGTAAGCTAAACTTGACGTTTTATCTTTGCCAATATTAAAAGTAAATTATTATTTTTAAGAGTTTTTAAAACTTCTGTGTTGGCACATCTGTTAGGACAGAAAAAAAAGGCTACACGTTCTTTAGATAATTCTCAGCAGCATTCAAACACAGCTCAATCAAAGCAAAGCTATTACATCTTATCGAATTAGATATTTACATCGAAAGCACTCGTTTTTACAAAGGCTTCATTAATATTGTTGCTTTGGTTTTACCAGAGAACCGTTCAGGTGCCTAGCGGGGAACCTGAACGTGAAACTGTCCTCACAGAAAATAAACATGCATCAATTGTTAATATACTTAATTTTCCGCAGCCGCATTACTTCACACAGATCATATGTTTCAGCTTTTCCTTTCCGTACTTCCTTCCAGGGAAGACACATTAGACTGAACAATGCACAGCTAACTGTACCTAATACAGACGATTCATGCCTGGATTTTATGATCATTGCCAGCAATTTACAAGAGCTAACTCGTAAGCACCAGCCGTTCGAATGGAGCGATGATCAAGTTAAAACTTTTAAACACCTCAAAGAACGACTGAGTTTAGCACCGGATAGGTTTTAGCTAACCTGCTAACTGGAATAACGCATATGTTAGAAGTAAATTCGAAAGATTATGGAATTCAAGAGACACTGTTTCAAATAATTGATGGACATGAAAAAATTATAGTGTACAACAAAATCTTGTCAAAATCGAAAAGGAAATACAATGTCTTGTCAAAGAAGTTACTTGTGATAGTCATATGCGTGAAGTACTTCATAAATACTTGTACGGATAATTATTTCATATCAGAAATGACCATGAGGAATTTACATGGGAAAATTACAGGAAGTGCAACTTGTGCGATAGATCGAACTTATATCGGGCAAGAAGTTTGATTTCACTATTTACTAATAATACGCATTGTTGCTATATTTCTTTTACTAGTTATTTATTAATCATGAATATACATTTATTTATATTAAATTTCATTATTAGATATTATGTATACTTTGTATATTTGTAGAATGATTTTATTAATAATGAATGTTAATAGTAAGTTCTCTTTGTCAAACGAAAGTCAACATTTTTCAGTATTTGGTATCCTTTTCACTTATTTATTTATTTATATTTTATATGAAGCTTACTAAATCAAATTTTTTATCTCAAAAAACTAACATATAAAGTCATCAAAAATAAATAGAATTTAATATATTTTATATACACAATTTTTTTCCACTCACACTTGACAGCGCAAAGGATATATACATTCGAAAATCAATGGACAAGAATAAAACATCATAATTTAGTTACATTTTTTTCCATTTCTAGATTGCTATGAAAAAAGCTGCAGGGGGGGTTAATGTTAAAAATATGAATTTCACAAATGATTGCATATATTTTTGCAAATAATCCATTTCAATGCAAGCATACATGATTTGAAACAAAACTTGTATCTAAACTATACCAAAAGAAAGAAAAAAATTGGAAACTAGCTACAACAATTCATAATTGAAATTCTAATCAATTGTCAAATTGCTGCAGGATATGCGATATAAATTGCAAAAATTTACTCGCAACATAAAAATACTATAAAAAATAAAAATAGTAAAAATAATCGAATCCAATACATTTTTGTATTGGATTTAACTAATCAACCAGAGGCTGAATCAAATAGCGTATATAGGTATAAATGAACCAAAAATTATATAAATTAAATAATAAAAATATGCGAATTTTGAGAAAATTGCACATGGATGCAGTTTGCAAGGATTGGTATGCAATTTATTCATGTGTTTAGTTTTTTACTTAAGTTACTAAATGCTTTGCCTGAAACAATATAAAGAGAATATTATTCGGCTATTAGAAAATATTTTAGTGAAATTGGCGTTATAATATGTAACTATTCGATCTAATTGAATTAAAATATACACACGAAAAAAAGAAATTGTAAGCAACCACATAAATAAACTGTGGTGCCAGCAATCCAAATTGTTTTCATTTAATTACTGATTGGAATTTGCGGTTTCTGATTACGAAATCCTAACTTTAGTCTAACCAAAAAGTCAATGTTTATCTTAAGCATTTAAGCTTTTATAATTATTACACTCAACCCATCACATCAGTCCCATCAGTCTCATCAATTATAATGCACTAATTTGACTGTCGTCAATTAGTCTAAAATCCTTTTAATATGACAAGCAGAAAAGCAAAAAAAGTATATCGGAAAAGCAAATAAAACGTAGCACAAAATACACAGCATTTAATTAATGAAATTAATATTTACTTTCTTTTATACATGATTACATGATACGTTTGATGCTCAAAGCATCCAAGCCACATCGTCAAACCACATATTCAGCAGCAGAACCAACCGCATTCAACCATATCCCATATCCACAACTATAGCAAATCTTCAATTAAATATGCCACAGATTAAGCAATTAATTTTCATGTTCGAGTGCCTTTAACAGTGACTTTTACGATTCGCTCGTTTGTATCTCAACCATAAACAAATTGTCAAATAATGACGCCAAAGCGATGTCCTTTATTAATTGTAAAATGTGCATGTATGGTAAACATTTTTGTCATATTTGTACGCATTTCTGTGGGCAAACAAAAGCTTAAGTAACCACCAACCGTCACCAACGAACCGTCAACCGCCAACGGTTTAAGTAGACAAGTGAAAAAATATTTATAAGAAAATTTATTACAAATTATACAAAATTTTGGCAAAAATAAATAAAAATACTTACGATTAGTTGATCAATAGTTGGTCAATACTAATTCTATTGGCATTTCTATGGTTTTGGCATAGCAGCGATTGCTCATGAATTTTAATATGAAACTTGTCAATTGTTTACGATAAACTAGGTCAGAATTAACAATAATAATGAAAACAAGAAATAAAAAAATTAATTTAATTGTAACGGACGTCATCGTCATAAATGAAAGAAAACAAATCACATTTTTTGGTCCTGTAGGATATTTGAACATTTCTAGCGACCTAAAATTATGCTTTTAAAAATTTATTTTGCCAATCTCCTCTATAGCCTTATTACATTTTGGCAAAATATTAGAATTGTGAACGTATAAATTCTCTAACACAGCTGCAGCTGTCAAGATTCCCAGCCACACTGCTCCACTGTTCCTTTCTGGTGCTGCATGCATAAATAAGTGTACAAATCCGTACTCCTTTTTAAATATTCATACTTTTGCGTTTTTCGCTTCCTTTCATAATTTAATGCCTTTGAATACTACACTATCATCAATTGCATTTTTTACTCTTTTACTACTCTTTCAGTGTTTCAG